GGCCACGCTAGGTTATGGTCCGCAGCAACTGACGCGAGGAGCGACAGCCGCGATCGCTGTGCTGTGCACTTTATTCCATCAATCGCGGGTCATGCGCGTCCGCGCCCCTTAATTTCCATTAATCATGTTAAGAATGTCGCTCAGTGTGGCACTGTCGCAAAAAAGAATAGTCCACTGTCGCAAAAAAAAATAGTAACCGTCCGACTTTGGGGCGAATGGTTGAAACGGCGATGTCGGCGGATTCTTCTGGAGCGGAGCGCCCCGCCTGTACTCCCTTACGTCCCCTCCGCACCTGACTGAACCAATCATCGGCCCCTGACTCAGTTTTCTTTCACAGTAGTGCCAACCCGCGAATCCCTCGTGCCCAGCGCGTGCCCGGAGGCGCATCCCGATGGAGCCAGGTACGCAGGGTGGCATTGCCCCGCGCGGCAACGACCGCCCCCCACGCCCGACCAGCGACCCGGGTTACGAAGAATATTCCACCGGGATCACGAGGGGAGCCGCTGTTGAGCTGTTGCAAGGGAGTGGCTCAAGCGGCCAGACCTTGAAGCCGCCCAACGACCCCAGCACCGTTTTGCACACACCCCATGGAGGCGTCCCAGCTCTACGCAGCACTGCCATTCTCCCCGCGGGCGCTGTTCAGAGGCGGCCGTTTGGCGCCGTGAGGTTGCCGTGCGCGAGGAGTGACCTGTATATAATCGCTACCTGGGAATCTACGTGTGGGCGGCCAGCCGTTGCGGGGGTGGAGAGGTGGGGGAAGGCGGAGTCTTGAGCGGGTGGGCGGCGGGGCGGCGCCCCGAGAGCAGCGCGGGAGGGCCCTGGCGCATCGCGGAGAGCGATCCGCGCCCCCGGGCATGGCCAAGGTGCCCAGCCGGCTGCTCGGGCGGGCTAGGGCTACCGGCGGCAGATTGCAGGACGGTGGGTGATCACGCCGCGCGCGAGAGAGGGGGTGGGGGGGGGGGGGCGGGCGATCTGCACGTTTGGGGGTGCCGGAGGGCGGAATGGGGGCGCCCGGGTGCCCCCGGGGCCGTTTGCGCCCCTGTGGGCGCTCATTGGGGAGCGTGGTTTTGGCGGGAATGGCGGCGGTGGTGTGGGGAGGCCGGGCTTTCGGGAATGACAGGGTGGCCCCCCCGTGGGGTTCTGCCTTGCGGTTTTGCGAGTGCGCGGAACGGCGAGGGGGTGGTGAGCCCGGCGGCGGGGCTCGCATCGCCGGCCCGGCCCGCGCCGTTCTGGCCCCCTTTCGCCGCTGGCCCCTCGCGCCGTCACCATGTACTACGCCCCCAGGTCCGACCCAGCGCCCAGGCGCGGAACGTCCCGCGCGCCGCCGCCTCGGGCGGCCCTTGAGCGTCGTTTCGACGGGCCGCCGGCCACAGATCGATCCGATCGGCCGCCGCCGCGATGCGGCTGATGACATGCGTCGACCTCGGGCTGATCTGAGCTGCCCGGTCACTGCAGGGAGCACTGCCGTCCCCATGTCCGGCATCCGAAGGGAGCTGCAGCGCGCGGCGGCGGCGCTACCCATGCCGGCTCTGAAGGCGTGCGAGGGCGCCAGGGGGCCGCTGGCGCTGGCCAGCGACGAGCGCAGGCCCTACGAGTCGCCGGGGCTGGACATCTTCCAAATGGAGATCGACAGCGTCGGTCTGGGAGGCGATCACGACGCGCCGTCGGACAGGCTGGGAGTGACCTCCGACACCTGCAGCGAGGCGTCCACGGAGTCGAGCGTGATGCTGGTGTTGGAAGATTTGCTGGGGGGGCGGGGGAACGCCCCGGGCGAGATCGCCGCCGCCGAGGGTGGCAAGGCGGCGACGGCTGGCAGGCTGTTCCGAAACAGGTCGGGGCACATCCCTATATCGAGGCCCGCCGGCGGTGGCGGCCAGCTGCCGGCCAAGCCGTTTGGGAAGCTGAGCAAGAGCCTGTCGGGGCACCGGCCCCGCGCTGGGCGCTTGGGAGAGCCGGACCACTCGAAGGGAGGCCTGGCCCCGCCTGCCAGGCAGCTGATGAAGCAGGCGAACGGATCGCTGCAGAGCTGGGCGTCCAACAGCAGGGAAGCGTGCCTGGGTGAGGCGGAACGCGGGCAAATGGACAAGTCCGCTCCCGTGCCGATTGTGCAGCGTTTTGGGCACAGGGCGTGCTCCGGTGACGACGATGGTGACAACCCGTTCATTCCGCCGCATGAGTACCTGGTCATGAAGGAGCTGAGCGATGATCCTGAGAACGTGAGCCGAAGCAATCCAGATAAGCGGCTGGCCTGTTAGCTCTGGTGATTGTGGTTTGGAGCGTGTGTTGAGATGGATGTGGAAATCCTGTCACAACGGCAGGCATTTGCACACCTCCTCTTGGCAAGATTTATATTACGCCCTTCTGCTTTGCCATTGGTATTGCTGGGAAACGAACCAATGCTGTTGATTGTTTCTGTTTCCGTTGTCTCGTGATGTTTGTGCTGCCAGATGCAAGTCAATGTGGAACAAACTGTGCTGCTGCAGCTTGCCAGTTCCAAGCAAGCATTTGGTAGTGATTGGCTGTGTCCATCCTGGGTCATGCTGCAGCGATGTCTGCCCAGCAGCAGACATCCCATGTCATGAGAGGTCAAGACAGTGGTCGCACGTGGAAGTGGAATCGCAACACAGTGCTGTGTGGCCGTCATGGCCATCGTTGTCTACCCATTAACTGACAAGCAATGTCAACAGTGGTCGATGCAGTGGCTGGATGTGGAATTGCAGCACACTGCTGTAACCCCTGTTGCATCAATCTGCGGCGCATGCGACTGTTTGCACAGTGGACAATGCTTCTGCCTTTTTGCATTGAGTTCAGCATCCTGCAAGTGCAACGTCTATGGCACATGGACTGACAATGGCCGAGCAGTTGTCAGCTTGTAGCTCCTTGTCCTGCGCTTACATGTCATCTTGTGGCAGGGGAATTTCGCAAACCCCAGCACAGGCCGCCTGAAGGGTTTGTCATCCCTTCGCATGAGAAACATGGTGCTCTCGGAGACTGGGTACTACGATGGGTACACCGAGATGTGGCAACAACCAGGGAAGCGGTCACCTGCCCTTATTGACCAAGCTTTGGAGACCCAGTTCGATTTTCGATTTTGACCAAGTGGGAGAGTGTAGATTCTATAGAGAGCGCTGTGCGGAATGCCCTGTGGTGGCCTTGTTGGCTGCCATCGCTGATTCGGAGTAGTATGCAGGGGCTGATCACAGTGCTGGGGCCCACGCTGTGTCCATTGGCAGCAAAGGAAGACCACTGATGCCCTGAGCTGCAAAGGGATCTGTGGCCTGTTTGGCTGAGTCTTAACAGGGGGATGCATGGATTCAGCCAAATGGCGGTTTTTGGTACTGTGTCTGCAGTGGCCATCGAAGAGTCACTAGACTCAGTGCGGCTGCGTCCAGAGGCATGCTTTCGGGGGCAGCCAATCTTAGTTGGAACATGTAGTTTCGGAGGATATGTGCTCTAGCTCGAATTTTGGATTTCTCGATTGGATCGGTGAATTTATTTTGCTCACCAGTGAAGCCCAGCAGGGGCTCCAGTGCGAATAAGCGTTTGTGATAGCCTGGGTGTGCCAACTGCTGAGCGACGAATGCACAACATATGTTACTGTCAGGTAGCCTGTTGAAGATCGCATCACCGTTTTGCCACTCCGTTCTGCTGGAGGGTGAGGCACATGCCTACCCAGCAGGGGCCTGTCACTCGATTTGTGGATTAAATTTTGTTCGTTTTGTTATGGAAGTGAAAATCTTGTTCATCGGCTGCCCAAGAGGCACAGCCAAAGGATGGTTGCTGTGCTTGTGGATGGGCTGGTGGAGGCTTGCACCTCGGTGGTTATCAACGTGCTGTGGGCGCACCGTTTCATTGTGGGAATTGAGCATCGACAATGGGAATGCATACAGTCAGGCTGGCCTTCGTTGCCAAACGCTTTGGTGTGCCTGATCGCTGCAATTTGTGGATGGAGAGGTTTGTCTTGATGTTCTTCCCCTTCGTTTCATTCCTATTTGATTGTTGTGCTTGCAACAGTGGCTAGAACAGGACTCGGATGCTGTGTAGCTTGCTGCTCATGGGTGCGGGGTTCTAGACTGTGGGTTGCTGGGTGACGCTTTCGCAAAACACATGACTGAACTGATTTATTCGGAGCTCTGCAGATTTTGAGAATTGAAATCCACTGATTGCGTGGCTGGCACAGTGGACTGGTATCAATGGGTAGTCCGTTGAGGCGGATGGGGGCATCTGCAACCTTTTTTTGTAACAGGGATTGCTGGTTCACCCCTGCCGTTTCCTGGAGGGTTCCAGTGGGCTGGTGGCCGCCGTGCTGCCAGCTTGCGCAGTAATATTGCGTCGGAGTTGCTGCTGGCTCAGCACGCCGCCCAAGTAGTGGCTGAGATTCCCAGTAACGCGGACCTTGACACTCTGTTTCAAACGGTCTGCCTCTCACCACTTTTGAGTAAGACTTGCCCCATTGAAGTGGTGCGCCAGATGTGTGGATGACAATGAACGCCGTCTAGGTGATTTCTTCTGGTGTTCTCTGAGGTGTTGCACAATCACATCACATTCGGTTCAATTCATTTGCCATAAGTGCGTGCCGCATACTTGCAACATGGACAACACCTGCATGGCAGGTGCCCAATTACTATCGAAAGCTGGAGCAACGGGCATCACAACCGTGTTGCCCAATGAAGCATGGACATTTGGACAGGACGTCGCACCTTGGACCTTCAAGGCGGATTAGTCCGTTCAACACCCACATCATGAACCGTGTATTAAGCGTGTACACATTCAGTTGAAGCCCCCTCAGCCATACGACACCCAGGCGTCGGCAGACGTGTCCCAACCACACGGCGCCTCACCCCGCCCTCCTCGAATCCCAGCCAGGCCCCCTCCCGCCGACGTGGCCGATTATGGGCGGAGATCGGATCTTTCGAGGATTTGGGCGAGGGCTGCCAGATTCGGGCTGTTGTCCTGGGCCAGCACCGCCAGACGGTGCGCATTTGTCGGTCCGCCGTGGCGTCCAAAGGCCGGGTGGCTGACGCGACAGGCTGTCTGAACGCCGGGATCGGCGCCGGAGCCCGCTGAGGGTGCCGCTGTTGGTGCATTCACGCCCAAAATCTCGGCGGCCGCCCACCCCAGTCCCCCGGCCCCCCCCTCCACGCCGAACCCCGCGGCACAGCCCCCACTGGCCAGACTCGCGCCGCCGCCAGCGCGCGGCATGAGGAGTCGCGCCGCAGGGGCAGGCTCGCGTGACCTCTGAAACGCCCCGGCGCTTGGCCGTGGCGTGCTCGCATCCCGAGGGCTGCGGCCAAAAGGGGACGGAGGCCGGCCGACAGCGTGCGCCACGTGCCTCCCCACGCACGCACGAGTGGACTAACGCGTCTCAGTCTCCGCGAGGTCAAGGCACGCGAGGCGTCGCTTGGGTGACTGCAGAGCGTCCTGGGCCCCGTTTTGTGCGTCCCAGAACACTTTGCTGAGGCCGTCGTGTACCGGGAGCGAACATGGACCACAACCAGGTGGGCGGACGGCCTGCGCCCCTGGCGGCGTGGGCGTCCTTGGGGATGGTCACAGGGAGGAGCGGCCCGAGGGAGAGTGTTGTGGTGGCCCGCGCTGACACCGGGGCGCTGTTTGCGGCGCATTCGTCCTGCAGATACCCAAGGCGGCGGGCAAGCTGACCAAGGTGTTGGCGGGTCTGCGCCACACATTCGTGGTGGCCGATGCCACCCCGATCAGCGCCCCCCCATCCTCGAGCAGTCGCCCCGCCAGGCCTTTGGGCGCCGCGGTCATCCATTGTTTTGTCGTTGTGCGATCCTCCTGCGCCGCTGGGTTTCTTTTGCGAGCCTTGGAAGTGGGTTTCGACGCCCCTATCTGGAAATGGGGACGCCCGTGCGTTGCACCCCTTGTTCACACGCTGACGAAACATTACCGCCGCTTCCCCAGGTTTTTGCAGATGACGGGGTACACAGCGGAGGAAGTGCTGGGACACAACTGGTGGGTTAGCGGCCGCGATACGGTTCGATTGCGGGGGCCCGCGCGGCATTTCGAGCTCCAAAAGCATCGCTGAATGGCCGCCCGTTCTGTGCAATGCGCAGCCGTTTCCTCCAGGGCGAGGGCACAGACCCAAAGGACGTGGCCAAGCTGCGCGACTCCGTCAAGAACGGTACCCACGTCTCCGTACGCCTGCTGAACTACCGCCGCGACGGCACGCCCTTCTGGAACCTGCTCACCATGACGCCCATCAAGGGCGACGACGGCCGCGTGTCCAAGATCGTGGGCGTGCAGGTGGATGTGACGAGCCGCACGGAGGGCCGGGCCAACCGCGATAACGTGCTCATCAAGTACGACGCGCGCCTGCGCGCCAAGAACAAGCCCAACTTCGAGGAAATCGCGTCCAGCGTGCAGGGCGCGGAGACGAGCGCCGGGGAGAAGGTGGAGCTGCCGGGCTACGGTGCACCGAAAGCCTTCCCGCGGGTGGCGCTGGACCTGGCCACCACGGTGGAGCGCGTGCAGCAGAACTTCGTGGTGTGCGACCCGTCCCTGCCGGACTCGCCCATCGTCTTCGCGTCGGACGCCTTCCTGGAGCTGACGGAGTACTCGCGCGAGGAGGTGCTGGGCCGCAACTGCCGCTTCTTGCAGGGGCCCAACACTGACCGCGCCACGGTGGCCAAGGTGCGGGAGGCGATAGCCAACGGGCGGGAGTGCACCGTGCGGCTGCTGAACTACACCAAGAGCCAGCGGCCGTTTTGGAACATGTTCACGTTGGCGCCAATCCTGGATGTGGATGGCACCATTCGCTTCTTCGTGGGCGTCCAGGTGGACGTGACAGCCAAGGTGGACCTGGAGAAAGTGCCTCCCAAGTGGGAGGATGTCCAGCCACCGGAGGCCAAGCCCGCACAGGAGGGCAAGGCCGTGGCAAGCAACATCGGCAACGCATTGCAGCAAATAGGCTGGGGCCCCGACCCATGGATGTCCCTGTCTGGCAGCATCCTGAAGATCAAGCCCCACAAGGTGGCCTCGGACAGCGGCTACCAGGCCCTGCTCAACGTGCAGACCAACGAGCGCAAGCTGAAGCTGATGCACTTCCGGCGCATAAAGCAGCTGGGCTCGGGCGACGTGGGGCTGGTGGACCTGGTGCAGCTACAGGGCACCAGCATGAAGTTTGCGATGAAGACGCTGGACAAGTGGGAGATGCAGGAGCGGAACAAGGTGCAGAGGGTGCTGACGGAGGAGAAGATCCTGTCCCTTGTGGACCACCCCTTCCTGGCGACCCTGTACTGCACCATTCAGACAGATATGCACCTGCACTTCGTGATGGAGTACTGCGAAGGCGGGGAGCTGTACGCCTTGCTGTGCTCGCGAAAGCGACTGCAGGTGGATGCGGCACGTTTCTATGCAGCAGAAGTGCTGCTGGCCCTGCAGTACCTGCACCTGCTTGGGTTCGTGTACAGGGATCTTAAGCCGGAGAACATCCTGCTGCACTCGAGCGGCCACATCATGCTGACGGACTTCGACCTGTCCTTTGGCAAGGGCAGCACCTCTCCCAGGGTGGAGATCATGGCACAGACCAAGGGGAAGAAGGGGAAGAAGGTGGGTGCGTCAGAGGAGGATTGTGGGCAGCAGTCTCCATGCTTTTGTTAATTATCAAAACGACCAGGGATGTGAAGCGATTCAGATGTTGGCTGGAAGGATGTGAAACTTGCTATGGGCATGCATTGAAGAGCAGATGTTGGTGTCCTGCCAAGGTGCACCAGGACGAGAGCTGCTGCATTCAGCAGCAGTTTTTGCATCTTGGCATTCTTGCATTATGCATCCGGCGGCATTTTACTTGCCGCTCGCCGTTCTGCCCTTCCTGGAGTTCCCATCGTGTACAGTCTTGCCAATGCAGCACAGCCACCATCGTTGCATAATCTTTGCCATGTGCACGCCTGACACTATGCACGACTGAGGATTCTGTTGCACATGTTTCTGAACAGTGCACTGCGCTGAATGGGGTTCTGCACTCTCCTTGTGGCCTCATCTTCGTATTTTTGTGTGGTAGTATTCTTGTTGGCTGTGCCTGTTGCCGTTTTTGGCTGTGTTGCGTTCCCACCAAATGAATCTTTTACCTCAGTCTGCTGCATACAATGCACCTGTAACTGCTGCAGAACGCGGTGAGCTCAGCATAAATCTCATGCAGCATTACGCAGTGCATCCCCATCTTCATGTTAGGGAACGCTGCCTCCTTCCCTTTTTTGACAGATCTTAGAGGGTGCATGAGCACAGGTTGTTTCCCTGCAAAGCATTGTAGATTTACCTGTACTGAAAGCTGGCCACGTTTTCAGGACCACCTTCCCCCAAGCTCGTACCAGCTGGTCGCCGAGCCGCAAGCAAGGGCAAACTCGTTTGTGGGAACTGAAGAGTACCTTGCTCCTGAGGTGATCAACGCTGCAGGCCACGGGGCTGAGGTGGACTGGTGGTCGCTGGGCATTTTGATCCATGAGCTTGTCTATGGCTACACCCCTTTCCGTGGCTCCCATCGTGATGCCACTTTCAGCAACATCTTGCGGAAGTCGATCACATTCCCAGACAAGCCAGAAGTTTCCGCATCATGCAAAAGCATCATCTCGCAGCTTTTGATCCGAGACCCTTCAAAGAGGCTTGGCGGGAGGGCAGGGGCAGAGGAGATCAAGGCCCACCCATTCTTCGAAGGCATAAACTGGTCGCTGATCCGCAATGAAGACCCGCCATTTGCACCCAAGGCTGCGCAGGACAAGCGTGGTGACCCTGGTGTGAAAGACTTTTAAGCGGCAGGCAGTTTCGCCCCACACTCCTATTGGCCAAGCAAAGCTGATTTGCGGTGTGGAATGGCAGAATTCAGGTACCTGCAAGGGCATGTTATCAGAGCATGGTGGCGATGCTTTGGAAGGGTGCTGCACGGATTGGGTGTTGTATTTTGCTGTGATAGATGCATTTCATGTGTCGTGTGCCTGCTCCAAATCTGACGCAGGCTCTGTATGACACACATAGGTATTGTTGATTCGGGACTGGGAGAGTTATTGTTGTACATGAATGTTGGCTGAAACTGTAGCGCAGAGACTGATGCTTCGCCTTGGGGTTGGCGACCCTGGCATGGCCATCGTGACCACGTGTAAATGGTCTGCGGGCGGGAAGACATGGGGGGCTGGCTTGGGGCCTCTCGGTTTGGAGGAGGGCCGCCTGTGTGTAAACTGTCAGCATCCAATTTTGCACATCACGGTTCATGGACCATTGCATTGTTGTGCGACGGGAAATAAATGCCAACAGGGTGGTGGACTGCATTGTTAGGGACAGGGAGGAGAGGGGAGGCAGTGTTGCGTGGTGCGCCTGTGCTGCCCTGCTGGACGCTTGGGTGCCTGTTGCTTGATTCTTGCACACACACACGATTTTGTCAAATTGTGTGTGCTGGAGTGGCCATGCGGGCTTGTTGGTGCTGAGAGGGATCTGGCTGTGTGCATGCACCCGTGCTTGTGTGTTGTAGTGGCCTCGTTTGCATGAACCTGTTCAGAACCTGCTGGTAAGGTAAAGTGCTGGCATCGGTTGTCACTTGCTCGTGGGATCAGTCAGTTTTGGCAGTTTGGGGGACCCCGTCCCTGGGTTGTTTTTTGGAACCCACAGATAGAGACACACCCGTTTGCAGAGAGCATTTGCAGATGGATTTGTGGGCAGGCGCACAGACTGGCTGACAGGTCTAGAATCCTGTCAGGAAAGGGCAAAGCTGGGGAGAAAAAGAAACAAAGAATACAGGATCTGGAAACTGGATCTTTATTAGTTTTCTTGCAGATTGGGTTTGGGGTTCTCTCGTCGTGTGCTGGGGGTAAGCCTGTACATTTTGACAAGATTTGTGAGTGCGTTGCGTCGCTGCACTGTTCCATGTTGCAGCCCTATGCATTGAAGTGAGGGCAGGATGGGAAGCTGTACTGTTCGAAATTTGACAAGTTTATTGACAAGGGCGCTGCGTTGCTGGACGATGCTAGGAGCGGTGGCTGCGGTGCAAGGACGGATGGGCACTTGGGGCAAGAGGCCGAGGGAAGGTGGGGAGACTGAATTTAAGTGAAAAACTGAATTACACCAAAGGTGCGGCGTATGGACCGCTTTTGTGCTGCAGATGGTGGCTGTCGGGTGCCCTGCTGCATGAGGGGCGTCGTTGGTGGTTAGGTCTATACGGTCGCCACATTGTGCACTGCTTGGTACTTGCGGGCAGTGGGCTTGCGAAACACCGCCGCGGCTTGAAATATCAAAAGTAACAACTCGGGGCAGACGTAGGATGTCGTGCATTTTTGGTTTGGGCCTAAGAATGCGTAAAAACATAATGCGCAAGTTTTCACAAGTTGGCGATCCACAGCTTTGTGTACCAAATCAACACAGCGGCTTCCCTTGGTCTTCATTACATATAACCCAACCAATGAAACGTTGGCTGCTGCGAGGCGTCACAAACGGTTCACCACACTGTGGACCAGGCATGCGGCGTAGAACTCGTGGCGACCTTTCCCTGGGCCTCCCGCATTCGAAACCCTGATGTGTGGTATACGTTTGTTATGAGCTGAGTTAGTCTATCGTTGAAAATGGTTGCTACGCGTGACGCCAGCCCCAGAACGGATGCTGAAGGCCTGCAAGGCTTCAAGGCCAACCTTTGCGTGCACCGTCACGTGATACTGGGCGCATGGATGAATCGTGGCGGATGACAGTGGCGGACTGCAAAATCCCTTTGCTGAATATTCGGCATGGAATAGGCAACGAGGTCTGTACCGTGGCACGTGGTTGCTGTGGAATGCTCGAGTGCTACCAAACTGGACGTAAACCATCCTTGCGGTGTCGGTTGGATGCGTAGGGTGTGGCGAGAGCCAAAAGACAGTCGACAGTTTGCGAAATTCCTGGGTCGAGCAAATGGAGAGTCCCACACGGTCAACTAGGAGAAAAAAATCACATTCAATCTCCAACCCGCAAGCGAACAAGCCACAAGAAAGTCAAGTTGCTGTTGCCACAGAGTAGGAAAGAAAACCACCCTTCCAACAACCCATTCCTGGCCATTCAACAGGCAACCTGCTGTACCCAACTTATCAACTTGGGAGCCACACGTAATGTGTAGAAAAACTCTTCCCTGCAATATATGGATGCAAGGAGTTTGCATCAGAAGTAGTAGCACTCATGCCACATAAAGGACCACGCAGATATAGGACTGTTCTCAACTGTGATGACCTGGCCTAAAGTACAGTGCCAGAAATGAGGCAAATGTCCTAATGCCCAACCTTCCAGCCTGTGCACCCTCCAAAAATTGTATGTTGTGGCAGTCAATTGTGGCGTGTTGATGTAAATGCACCAAATTCCCTTGAGATCACGTCGACAACGCTGCCTTTGAAGTCCAACGTGGCACTTGAGTCACAGGAAGAGACCGGTGCACAATCGCATCAACGATCTGTCTTTCATGCTGGCAAACCCACAATGGTGGCTATCGAGCCCAACAGCACGCTGCTGGGACCAATCCCTCTTCCTGCCCTGCTACAGCATCCTCCAACGCTACAGGGTGCCTACAGGTGGTGGTCAGGGTATTCTACCACCTTGGGAGGCTTCGAGGCGTATTCTGGAGGGGTTTTTGGAGGGGTGCTGCCGACTGATGGGGATGATGGGACAAACGAGTAGCCTGCATGTCCCTGATGGGCGAAAGAGTATCGCATAGCTGGGGGCCTGGCATCTGCGCCATTGGCCCATGGCGTCAATGGCCGGCTTTTCAGCTCACGAAGCTCTTGGCACATGGCACAGGGATGGCAACTGCAGAACAAGGCAGCATATATGTTGCATGGCTGAATAGTGAGAGTGCAGGTGGCCACACGACAGGTCCAACGTGATGGGCATGCGCTGTGCACAAGGCAGCAGCTAGGACTCTATAGGGACATTTGGCTTTGCTGAATGCAAACTCGACTGGAAGACATTGGACTTAAATGCCTCAAATGCATTGGTGGCATCGTCATTACATCTAAACTCGGATGGTAGTGGCTTTTGATGAATGCCCACTGACTATGAATGGTGCAATGTTACATTCTTGGAAGTTGCGATGGACAGACTGGGGCAACGCTTGCACATTGAACAAAATGGCAACACAGTAGCTGAGGGGCACCTGGCAAGGACTGCATAGCCTAGTGCCTACACCCGCCCCACTCAAACCCTGTAGGTTTTAACTACAACTGTGGAGAAATGCTGACAAATAACAACAGGAAGCCACAGTGGTATAGAACACTGACTGTCCCAGTCAAAGGGGGAGATGCTGTCTGCAGTACAATGCTTCTTCTGTGCCTGTTTCCTTCAACATCACCTCAATTATATGTCCAACTGCCACCATGTGTCCGTTTTAATGCCAGTAATTGAACTTGCTCAATCGACAACCTGGCTGTGCATTCATGCAGTATCCTGCTATTCTCCCAATTGCAGGGCAGCGGGCCAATGGCCATTGTCAATGTTTTTCTGGCATGAACATATTATGGTGATAGGCAGCAGGAGGAACAAGGTGCTTATACAGATGTAACATTGCCTCCTTTTGACTCCATACACTGGCAATGTGTGAGAAACAGCAAATGCTTCACAATGGGGCACCGGCTCACCAAAAATGCGCCCAGCAGTCGCAGCAGCACGTCTGCAGCAGGCAGAAAACAACCAGAGTGTCAGCGTGAGAAAAAGAGGATCCAGCAAAACACACAATGGTGGCAACAGACTGGCTGTTGTATACAAACCCTGGTCACCAAACAGGCACTGTTGCACCACTGATGTGTTCATCCTTGGGTTAGAATTAGACTCTCAACCCCATTCTACACAAGGGACCCAAATGCTTTAATGCCCAAGCTTTCTTCCTCTACAATCTCAACTTGGATCGTCAGAAGAGCCTATGGTACCACCTCAGGGCAACAGCAGGGTGTGCAAGCTTCTCTACATATTTTTGCCCAATTTGGCCATACATTGCCAGACACCCCTAAGATGAATGAGCCAAGTTGTGTGTTCCCAACTGCGGGAGCTGGAAATCGAAACCCACGGTGTACCCACCTTGAGGCCATACTTCCGTCTGATTTCAGAACGTGTCATCATGCCCAGAATGCATTGGCATCCCGTGAAACAACATACGAGGAAGTACAGCAGAGCTGGGTCGCACGATTCTTGGGCATAACCCCCATGCAAGGCTGTTGGAGTCCACAAGCAGGCATATGCATTCAGACACTATAACATGTGCACTCCACAATTTCAACACACGAGTTTTAGCACTGCTGTGGCTGCAGTAATACAAGCTGTGAAGTCTTTGTTGGTGAAGCATTGTGCAAAAGGAATCTTGCGGTTTGGCATGTGTTTGCATAGGTTTTGAAAGGGAAGAGAAGGGTTGGGGCAAAGCCAATCTGAGTGCTGCATCTCTTTCCTTCACTAAATTGGGGATGGTACAGTTGTGGGAGAAGCATTCTGTGCAGCACATGCTTGAGGTTTTGGCCGCCAGCATTGTGGGCACCCAGCCATTTGTGGACATAGGAATTGTCCACATGGCCATCGTCAAGCTTCAGGACTTCAGGACTGCGCTTGCCGCCAGTGCCAAGAAATGTCAGCTTGACCCTGGGGAGCTCAGATGCGGAAATTGGACGGACTGTACAGGGAACTCAAAGTTCCCTGGAGTGCAGAATGGGTGTCTTCAAACGACTGTGGTCTCACCGTTTCGGATGTCCTTGTATGTGAGGCATGGGCACCAGATGGTCCTGCAGCCTGGGGGCAGCAAAGGCAAAGCGGTAGCACCAAAGTCAGCCCCGAGGGGCGTCCCCCCGGCAAGCTCGTCCTGCACCTTTCCAACTCTGTGGGCAACCACCACCAGGAGCTGCAGACAACAGAAGGCGGCCCAGTCCGCAAACTGCGGAAGTGCCCACGAGCATGGAGCGACGCCCGGCGCTATCCAAAAGGAGGCGGTCGGCAACAGCGTGCCTCACATGGCGGTCCCCGCCTTGGTTGCTAACCACGAGGACCCTTCGCTCTGCCACGTGATGAGATGGCCCGCGCGCGCACCCTCCGCCACAGGCCCTCTTTCCGAGAGCCGAGGCCGTGTCAGGATGCCAGCGCTCCACAATCAACACGGCCCCACCAACACAGCTTGATGTTCCCTTTCCGGAGTTGCACGCACGGGGTGGCGTGCCCACTCAGGATACGCGGCTGCGATGCACACCGACTTGGGCGCATCTGTCTAAGACAGGGCAGGGGAGGGACGCGCCCGAAAGCCCACAATCCCCCTGGGCGGCCTCCCTCCAGCCAAACGATGCGCACGACGGGTGCGCTTGCCGATCTGGCGCCGTGGACCCGCGAGGCGCCACCACTCACACACGTCCACGTCGGCGCAGCAGCAGCAGATGCTGCCCGCCTGCCACTCCGCTGACTCCCGCTGCATCCTCCACTCGGACGTGCTGATGGGCTCAGCTTCAGTGGGGGAACAAGTGTCCAGCACGTTCATCGATGTGCTGGACGCCTGCGGAGGTCCCCACTTGCGTAATGGCAGGGGACTAGTGCGACGGTGGTGGTAGAGTGGTGACGTAGGCACGGACGGGGAACTGCTTTGGAGGAGAATATATTACTCCCCGTTCTTGTTTGCCGAGATTCGGTTCTTGTTCCGCTGACGAGGCCAGTCCCGGTGCGTGGATCAGTAGTTGGGGTTTAGGGTGTCCAAAACCAAGAACCGAGTCTCTGCAAACAAGAACGGGGAGTAATTTTATGCCGCTTTGGAGGGTGGTATTGGTGTCAATGTGACTGTTGAGGATGGTAGTTGTGCGAGTGTGTTGCGGCCCCGTCGGCAGCCGCTGGTTTCCGGAGGCGTTGGGGTCGCCCTGCCCTGCAGCTCGGCTGTTGGAGGTCAGCCGGCCCTCTCCACCTTGGACGGTGGGCGTATCCGGGGCAGTCGCTCCTGTGGTCGTGCGGTGGGCCCAATGCTCGACGGGGATCGATTCCCGGGGCCTGCTGTCGGCGAGAGGTGGCGGCGCAGCGATGCGGTGGTTCGCTGGCTCGCGGGAGGCCAGAGAGTGGGCCAAAAGTGTTACAACGATTCACTGCATGCGCGCGCACATATCGCATGCGCGATGCCCGATCGCGGGTCCATCGCGGTCACATCATGACAAGACAAGACAAGTGCGCATCCAGGCACATTGTCACCGTCCACCATTCACCTAAATCAGCTCCACATAATCCCCGATGCTTCCATCTACCGG